ATATATATATATATATATATATATATACATATACATATATATGGCTGTTGACATGTGTCAAGCAAGACATGTCAGGATAAAGGACTGGGTGAAAGTCTTTATCCTGACATGTCAAGAATCCAAACATTTCTGTTTGGAGCCTGCTTGTGGTTCAAGTTCTATTAGACAGTCATTGTTGAGGTTGCTTCGGTTGAATTCAGGTAAACTGTGTGTGTAAAACAAATGCACCCAGAAATTGCCCACAGAGACTCAGTCAGCAGACTAGCTGCTGGGATTCCTGATTGCTTTCATTCCAGCCAGTTTAGTTGAGCCAATCCTCTAACAGACAGACACATGAATAGCAACAGAACCTTGCTCCAGCACCAGAAGATAATGTGTTCTGTGCAAACAATCTGGAAGCAAAGAGGCAGGTGTGTTTCTCTGTATCAATCTGCCACAGCACTCTGGCTTAAAAAAGGGCATCCAGTACAGTTTGCCTAAAACAGCTTTGTTTTAATGCCAAGGGACTATGTCGTGCAAATAATTAGAGGCCTTTCTCACTTGCAATGAAGCACTGCGACATTCTCATATGGCCTTAGAAAGCATGAGGGATAAGGTCATTGAGGATGACTGGGTAAGCCATGTGCCTAAATTCAACACGGGCAAATGCAGAGCATTTTTTAAGGCATAGCCCTGCTGTTGGCTTTTCATCATCTAATTGTCATCAGCTTCTTACAGTTAAATCAAAATGTTAGGGATTACAAAGAGATTATCTTTATGGGGATTCAGTCTTCCAACTCATTCCTTGTTGCTGCTCAGAGATTTTAAAGCCACAGTGTTTAAAATCTCACAGCTAGATGTCAGTAGATTGAAGTCAGCTGAATTCTGTTTTCTTACCTTCTTTCTCAACTTCTTCTTATGTTTTAAGTACTTAATCCCGACTACTGTGGCCGCTGTAGGACAAACATGATTTAGTCAGCCAAGAGAGCTCAAAACATTAAATTTAAACGGTTCCCTATAATGATCATGGCTGGCATGTTTCTACTATTCTTTGCGGGAAAAACACACTTTTTCACTATATTTTAAGATATTTAAATGAGATCAAGACTTAGCAATAAATCAGAATTGCTGCAATTATTGTTGGGCCGTATTTAACACTTTTACCTCAGAGTCTCCTCAACAATGCAAAAATAAAAAAAAGTGAGCAAGGCTGTCAGTCCACTGTTTACCTCAGCTTGTGTTCATGTCTAATTGTCACAGTTAAATGCGGGAAGCTATACATTTTATGAAAGTAGTCTGATACAGGTTGATGAGTCAGTGAAGCTCACTTCCGGCTAACGACAGCAATACTGTGGTGAGAAAGATCTTGAACTTTTCTGTTGGAAAGCACTGCTGTTTTTCTCACTGTTAACTGGCATTAGTAAAACTTTCTTTGAGGTTAATCTAACATTGTTGGACTTGGACGCTTAGCAAATAAATAATACATTCTCATATAACTTGAGAATGTAAGTAAATTGCTTATCAGATGGAAAATGTTTTAGGACATTCAAGCATAACATTAGGTCTCTGACACACTGTGTACAATTATAAAACTAAATAAATAAAACAACTGAGATTTAGTTGCAGTGCAGACTTTTTCATTGAGTTGAGCAAAAAGATTCCATAAAAATGTGACGAAATAAAGCATTTTTTAACACAATCCCTTCATTTCAGGGACTCAAAAGTAATTGGACAAATTAAATAACCAAAAATAAAATGTTCAAAAGAATGTTTATTGGATTAATTCTTATGAGAACGAATTAATTTGTTGGATTGTAATTACACACTAATTAATGTATATTTATTAGTAAGATTTTTCTGACAGTGCTCCAGGTTGGGTCTCTTGTCACGTGGAGTGACCTTGAAAAGGACATGTGCAATTATATCACTGCATCTTGAAGTCAGCAGTCTAAGCAGACATGCCCAGACTTCCACTCTACAAGATCACTGCCTTCACTTGTGGATGAACACCAAAGCAATCAAACGCCAGCCTGGTGACATGTGCCCAGAACACATCAACTGGTTCTTCATTGTGGAAGAGCAGCAACTCTACTCCAAGGACCTTCGATTGACCAAGATCCTCATCCTAAGGCTGAGTCCAGCCACCTTTCTAAGAAACTCATTTTGATCATTTGTATGTGCAGTCTCATTCACACCCAGTCGATCAATCGACAAGTCTTGCTTTTTCACTCTCACCTCAGTCTTCACCACAACAGACAGCATTTGCATCACTGCAAACACCAGTAATCCATCTGTTCTGATCTGATCTATCAATCCTTCTAGCCTCATTTGTTAATAAGGCCCTGAGAAACTTACATGTTTCCACTTGAGGCATCAACTTGCCCCTGACCCAGAGTGGGCGTGCTAGCTGTTTCTTCACACTCATCCGCAAACGACCCCAGTGCAAGCTGGAGGTGATTGCACACTGAACGACGTCATGTGCAAAATGCAGAGATGAGATCCTGAGGTCAGACACCTTCAGAAATATTTCATTTTGCATATAATGAATATAAATAACATGAAAGATTTTAATTAAATTTTGAAAAAATATTATATTCTAAGATATTCAGATGCACTAATAAATATTTGGTAACTGCTGAGAAGCTCTACTTAACATTTTGAAAAGAAATCAAGAGTCTTGGATCTTGAATCTTGAACACATGCATGTCTAGTAAAGTTAAGGTAATGAAGCTGGTGCTACAGCCCAGAACTGCAACAGGTTTCAGTGTTTCCCAGGAACACATTTCAAGGAAATGTCAGCAGTATCAGCTCTCTATACTGACACTGTAACCTAACATTTCCTTATTGTAATGTAAAACATTTCAAATTAATGGGATTCCAACCCCAAGCTGACAGTTCAATTTTAAAGTTAATTATAAAGAAATGTGTAGTTTTTGTTGGCTTGTTTGTTTCATATGAAACCATCATGAGCTCCAATGTGTTTATCTTTTTAATAACAGCCAAAGAATATCGTGGTTTTGTTTGTTAAGTTTTATTAAAATTACACATCTGGCCTCAAATGCTCTGCATCTGGGCCCTCTCCCTGGAAAACTAGTCACACTAGCAGTCAATTCCCATTTGTTCTCTTAGGAAGAAAGAAATAATCAGCAGGAGGGTGATCCAAAAGTATTAAGTGTTCATGAATAACTGCCTGCGCCAACGGGCAAAGATTACCAGATAATGTTTTCATGTACTAGCAGAGAGATTCTCGCTTTCATTGAGGACAGAGCTCATCCTTAACAAAGTGCCTTGGCTTTAGCTTAAAGGCAAATTTTCACCCAACCCTACTGACAAAAAAAATTTTTTTAGCTATTCTACAGAGACACAAGAAGTACTAACCCTTCACACTTTTTTTCTGTTCTGACTGCCGGGAAAACAGAAACAAACTACTGCAGAAAGCGAGAGGCAAAGCAAGCACTATGTTGACAGTAGAAAACATCTTCCAAAACAATGTCACCCAGTAAACCTCAAAAGAAATACATATATATAAGAAAAAACATGAAAATAAGGCATGAAAATTAGTCCAGACAACAAACTCCTGTGGTAGCCTGAAGAGAAGGATGAGGACATGTGGTTAGAAGCAAAGACCAATGTGTTTTCGGTTCTACCTGTTTTGCTCTTTTTAAACTGGGAAAACATGACACTGACATGAAAGTAAAGGTGGCACAGGAAACATAAAATTGATCTCCTCAGGGATAGGGATGGGTATCGTTTAGGTTTTATCCGATACCGGTGCCAAATCGGTACTTTTGAAATGGTGCCGATGCTCAAACCGGTCCTTAAAGAATGGAGAACACAAAATTGGTCCAAAAACCTCTCATGTTCAGCTGTTTTTTTGTAAAAAGATAACAACGTTAGCCTTTTCTGCAGCTATGGGGCATATATGGTATCACTCTTGGCTGGAAGCAGTACTTAAACAATGGAAAAAACACAAACTTTGTCCAAAAACCTCTCATGTTTAACTGTTTCCCTCTTTTTCTTTGGTCATTTTAGCCTTTTTGGCCAGGGTGAAGTGAGTATCTGCCATCAAAGA